ATTAGGTCAACCTGCAAATGCATGGAGCTTTCTCCGACAATGGCGAACCCCTTTTTGGATGGTTTTGAAGCGAACCACCAGCCTATCCTTTTGCTTTCCCTTTAAACCAACCCCGAAAGGGCCGAAAGGGTACCCAACCAACAAATACGCCTCTCTTCCGAGGAGACCCCTTCTGAGAGTCCAGCCCGGCGCTGCTCTGGAAGCCGGAGCCGCCGCCGCCTAAGGAGCTACGTTGACTCCTAGCCCCTCAGAAGAAAACTGCATGCCCGGAAGCGTGTGATTGGCACCCAAGGGCCATGTCCGGAAACGTGTCGTGGATGGCAAAGTCGTGTCATTTTGCTTTACCCCAATGCACGTTTTGGCCTAAGCGACACATGTGGAGGTTCTGCTTAGACTACCAGCAGACGCCACCTTACGCCTTACGCACGTGGGGTTTTGCTTTCGCACAGATCGATATGACGCAACTCTTGCTACACATGTACGCGGAGGTTTTGGACGTTGCTCACTTGGACCCTCTGGGTAGTGGGGTAGGTTTTGTCGAAGCAAACCAGCAAAGACATTCGGGGACCTTGTGGTTTGGGAAAGCCAAACCAAAACCACATCCAGTTTCGTTGCATAGTTTTGGGACGGACGTTTGAAAACTTGGATGATACCAGAAAACCAGCCATCTTTGATTTATGTCTTTTTATTTGGGGGGGTCCAAGTCCAACTTTGGGGCTGTTTTGTGTGGGCGGAGGTCGTACTTATCATGGAGTTTGAAGGTGGAAGAGCCATCACTCTGCAAATGCTACAAACAATTCCAAATCGTGCCACAAGGGACCCCCATGCCAAAGACCTATAGATTGGCAGATGATCGAACGGCAAAAATGCAAGCTGGGGCCATTCAGCCCAGATGTCACATGGTCCTGGAGTCGAAGCTTTGCTTGCCGCCCCCCTTTAAGAAGCCGGCAGTTCGCTTGGACAGAGCACGCGTGGTTCATGCCATGAAGGATTGTCCATGCTTAACACAACAAATCAGGAGTCAGTGATAGCTAGTGAGTCTTAGCACGTCCGACCCTTTCAAGCCCGATCCCAAGCCCAGATTTGCAGCCATTGGGCAAGAGTAAGCAGGGGCTGAACCCGTACACGCACACACACACACACAAATGGCGCGTGATCACGAGGCAATTTGGCTTGATAGCACTCCACAACACTATTCTACTTGTCGAAGCCCGTATAGCAAGGTGGCCTGTGGCAAGCTGCTGTTACCTGTGGTCGACATGCAAGTGCCTGGGGTGCGTCTTTGCTTCCTACACGCCTTGCTCTGCTGTCCTCCGGCCATGTCATTTGTTGCCTTTTGGCCAGCCACCAAGCACAAATCAGAACATCTGGCATCAACATACTTCTAAAATATACGGTTCCCTCCAAACAGATGCTTTGTGTCCGTCACGCCACCCTTGAGCAAGGTCACTGGCCTTTGCAGAAACTTGGCGAACCCTCTGCATGCTTGCTTTCCATTTGATTTCCGTCTCATCCAGCACTTAGTGCAGCGAGGATTCAGCCCCTGTTGCCTGTTTCATGCTTGGCCAAAGCCGTCTTTGCTCTACTTCGGGCCACACACGGGTGGTTGCAAACCCACCTCGCCAAATGGCACAAGCGCACATCGAACCCTCCCGCCTTGCTCCTGCGCTTCATTGGCAGCCTCAGCGATGGAGTCTTGCTTCAGGCGGGCTCCATGGAAGATGGTTGGTTCTTGCGAAGAGCGGAGCGGAGCTTGCAAACATCTGCCCGGGAATGATACTGAAGACTTCTTGCTTCAAGTGCTTGAGGGAAGGAACCAGCAAAAACAAAGTGCTGACCAAGTAAGGACCCTGTTATTGGAATGACAGGAACTTGGCCACCCTCTCCTCAATCCTGTTGGTCCCCCTTAAGACCACGGTGAAATGGGATAATATCCCAAAACACGCATGCACACACATATTGCCACGCACTGGCGATGCCAATCTGTGGAGGGTTGGGGGATTGGAAGATCCACGTTGAAGTGCATTTGGACTTGCCCATCGGCTGTTTGTCAAGCCCCGGGCCTGCATTTCCTTTTCGGAGGATAACTGATGCAGCAAAATTATGTTCAATTCAATCTATTGTGATTTTAATATTACTTTTGCTTGGCTTCTCTTAGAAATCGCACACACACACACACTCATATCGCCCAGATAATATCATGTTGAAATCAACTGTTTGTCTCATTCGGTTGATCTCATCTTTTGAACAGCTTCTCAAGGCTATCCTGGGGTGCGAGCACTGCATGCTTACTTGCATGTTCTCGCCTTTACAAGGAACATACTGTTGGACAGCTTTTTGCTCCAAATCACGGCAAGAAAGCAAAAAGGATACATTTTGAGGGATGCTCACAAATATTGTTGTGTCTGGGTGCTTCCCTTTTAACCACCATTTGGCTAGGGTCAACGGATGTCATGGACCCAGCACAAGGGACTGTTCTAAAGGCTGATCCCCCATTGTTCTTCTCAAAAGAAACACATTTTCTGGGTTGGTGGAATTTCCTGAACAGAAGGCTCTGTTGAACAAATCTGGGCAAACTACCATTCCCAAACAGGACAGAAGGCATCTAGTACGGGACCTTCATTCTGTGTGAGCTTGCTTCATGCTCGTGAGTTGTGCGGTTGAATCCCTGGAACTGAAAAGATACAGCCAGCTCGACCTACGGCCACAGGCTTCCAAAGCTCCCGCCCTCGACGCTGTTGTTTGGCCGAGCCGCGGCCAGGGCGCTGCCCGTGCGAATGCTCTCTAGAGCCTGCATCGAGTCAGGACGTAGGACTCTGCCCCTGAAAATAAAACCCGCGACACTCACAGAGAATCCAGTGCATTCCACTACCCTTACCTGGACAAAAAACACTCAAATCATGAACTTTCTTTCTTGAAGGACCCGGATATTCAAGGAGATCGCCTTTCGGGATTTTGACTGCCGACCAAGGGAAGCCCAAACGCAATTCGTCCTGGACAATATTTTTGTGGGTTCCATGGCGCTTTCGCCTTGCAAGGGCCTTGGCCCGTCAAACGAAGACAACATTGATACTGCAACAGTGTGATTGCTGGTTTATGTCTACCGCAAAGCAGCAAGCCCACACCATGAAGCATGCATGAGTGGGCAAGAGGCATCGATCTGGTAAGCCTATTCTGCCCAGGACTCGTCAGAAACATGATGACAAATCGGTGGACCTCCCTGCTTGGGTCTTCCTCCTTTCTGAGCTCCTTGGTGCTTTCGCTTAGTCCAGCGATTTCATGCTAGCGGCGCATGTTGGGAAGACCGCTAAAGTTGCTGCCTTTCAAGGAGCCAGCTGTGAGTGGAAAGGCTCAAACTGCACACGTTGCTCAAATCGCCAAAATTCGCCAAACATGCCAACGTAGAGACGCTCACAGGGCAGCTTCTCTTAACCAAACACTTCTCGACTGCCTGCCCTTCAGGGTTTTTCCACGCCCTTCCGTTTTTTGATTTTCTTTTTCTTTTTCGCGCAGGGACTCATTGCCATCAAAGGCATATCCTGCGCTCGGCTTCTGACAAATAGCGCTTGCTGGAACTGGAACGTGCGACGGCTATGTACGATCATTTATAGCACAGCCTTGCTAACCCCCATGCGTGACACAAGTAGCCACCTCACTCCTGGGGTGTGGCCCGGTGGTTGGGTTGTGGTGCTGCTACAAGCTGTAGGTAGGTTTTGGGTTGGTTTAGGGTTGGCTTAGGGGGGGTGGTGGTGGTGGTGGTGGTGGTGGTGGTGGTGGTGGTGGTAGTGGTGGTGGTGGTGGTAGTGGTGGTGGTGGTGGTGGTGGGGGCGGCGGTGGCGGCGGCGGTGGCGGCGGTGGTGGTGGGAAGCGCTTTAGGGTTGTTTCCGGGTTTGTTTAGGGCTGCTTTTAGAGTTCAATAGGTCGTTTTAGGGTTGGATAGAATTGGTTTAGGGTTGGTTTAGGTGCTTTGTGGTTCAGGGTTGATTTATGGTTGATTTTAGGTTGGTTTGGCGTTGGTTTAGGTGGGGGTTAAAGGTGGTTTTGGCTCGTAACGTAGGGGAGCATAGTGGGGTGTCGTGGTGCAGGATCCAGGGCTCCCGAGAAAAATTGGGGAGCTGGGGGCCCACACCGTTGGAGGGGCGAGGAACACGGAACATAACACCTATGGTGAGACTCGCACATTGCGCAGCAAGCAAAGCGCGCTTCGGCTATGTCGCTTTAAAAGCTTCAAAAGTCAGTACTTCTCAAAAGAAGTTGTAATGCCTGGGCCCGATTAAACCAAGGGTACAAAGTACAAAACACATTGAAGAGGAAATCAGACCTGACCTGGCCTCCAAATAGTGGCTTCTTTGTAATGGAGGCACATGATTCATGATCCCCCTCCCTCCTCCCCCCCTCTCAAGGTCAAAAGGTCCCGGAAACCGAATGTGAAGGGCCAGAGAAGGGGCTTTGTGTTATTCGGGGGGGGAGGCTTGCCTGGAAGGTGGGTACCCTTGTCAACATGCTGCAAGAAGTTTTCTGCTTCCGCTAGCCATTTTTCCCCAAACACCCTCCGGGGCGGGGTTCTCGTTTAGTTGTCTGATCTCAAGGGAGTGAGGGAGCGAGGATCGGTGGCTTGTTGCAACGATGTGATTGGACTGCTGCCAACTGGATTCGAACTTGTCGTGGACTTGCTGGTCTTGTTCATCTAGGCGGCTCTCCTTGTTGTTGGTCTCCGGAATGGCAACCCTTGAGACTATGAAAGGATTAGTATTGGCAAAATAATGGCAATAACTTTGGTAATTCAAAACTTCGTTCTGATTTGGACTTTGGGCGGAAGGGCCGTCTTTAGTCAGAGGGGGTTCTGGGAAGTGCCACACAATTAGTTCGAGGGGGTCTTTTGGCCTAACCTTGTGGGTGCCTTTACAGTAGTATTGGCTGGCAGTCGCTGGAAAAATCGGGCGTCTTTAATCAGAGGGGGCTTATTCATCTTGTGCCGACATTATATTATTCAATTTAGGTCAGCTAGGGGATTGCCTGTACCAATCAGGCCCGGCAGTACAACGTGCTTCTCGCCTGTACAGCCTAAGACTTCTGCTGAGATACCCCTGCCCTCGCCTGTGCAAGAGCCACATCAAGGCATATTGAGCTAGGCTGACTCCTGCGAAGGCGACGTTTCCTTGGCTCAATCCCTGCAAAAGGTTAACAGTGTTTGCTCCCGCATCGCTATGCTTGGTGCGAAAATACATCATGTCCACAACAAAAGTTGAAGGTTAAAGTAAAATCTGGTAGGGTCAACCCTACCTGCTGCAAAGAGCTCCAAGAGACTTGGGCCGAACTTGAAGAAGGTCTAGCAGGCAAATCAAGAAGAGGCCCACCTGGCAAAAAACCCTTGGAAGCCTCCTGATTTCTTCGTAGACCTTTCGGGGTTGGTTGTTTACTGGAACTCCAAACCCCACCTTTTGTGGAGACCCCTTCTTGGGCTCGATCTTAATTTGCAGAGTAAACCCGATTAGCCCGTCCCGCACCTGACATATAACCACGGGACTTGCGCAAAGGACCAAGAACAAGTTGGTCAAGAGCTCGCGGCATGTGGACTCTGATTTGCGTCGGAAGTGATGAGCCAGCAACTTCATCCAGGCCACCAGCATGGGGAAGAGCAAAAGCACAATGTTGAGTCCTTGGCTAATCTTCCAGCAACACCAAGAACGCCAGGCTCAGTATATGGTCCATGCTCAACCCGAAACCTATGATTGACATCGTTTATACCATTGCAGTACAAGACATACATGTAAGATGCTACCAAATGTTGACCCAGAGTCCCAAGGTAAGCCACAGCCCCAGGTTCCACCACCGCGGCTTGTCAAAATCCATGCTGCGCCGAGCAAGATCAAGAAGTGCCCACAATACTGGGCTGCACACCAGAACACTCCAAGCATAATTGAACGAACTTCGCTCGAGCTGTTCTGTCGCTACCTCCACCACTTCGGTGCGAATGTACGCTTCAAAGCTGTCGGTGCTGCCAAACCACTTGGTAATGCATGTGGAAATCACTTCTCTGTCACAAATCATTCGACGGCCGTCGTGGCCGATGTGGCCACGGCTGCAGCAAGTGCATTTCAGCTGGGCAACTCGCAAAGACAGCAGCTGCCTCTGCATGGTTTCCACGGCTCGGTAAAAGCCGCGTAGCGTGTGGGTTGATGCAGAGGCGCCTCAGGAGCCCAGTGCAAGCTGGCACCCATTTTTGCGGGTTCACAGGGAAATCCACCCCAGAAAATATGAACAAAGAGTGGAACCTTCTGGGCAAAGGCACCGACGATGCCGACAACGAAGAAGCCTCCAAGCCACGCAGAATAATCTTGGGAATCGTGCCTGGATTGGTAAGTCGGGTTCCCTCGAAAACGTGTTTTGTTTCGACAGTCAGTAGGGAAACAATTTGCCAAAAGGATGACAAGGTTGCAGGTTCTGCAGGTTCTACTAGGGAGCAACCGAGGTGCAGCAGAACGATGGCGGAGATCGTGCCGAAGGTTGTTGCCAAGAAGATAAAAATCACGAAGGTGACGGGACCAGTCAATGTCGGGCAAATCACCAGAGACTTTGCATTCTCCTCCCTGCTTTTGAGAAATGCAGCCAGCTCGAAAACACACCACAGCCTTAGTCAGCCAAAGGGTTGGCTGGCTGGTGGTTGGGTGGAGGGTGGGTTGGTTCAACCGTTAGATCCCCACTCCAAACCCATCAAGGCATACGGAGTAGCCGCTCTGCCCAGGAGGCATCCCAGAGCACCAGCATGGAATCTGACTTGTCAAGCAGGCCAGCGAGGCTGACAATGGCCTCAGGGTTCGTCCAAGCCTTTGTTAATTTGCTTAAGCATATTTGAAACAACCCTCGCATTTCCACCTTGACAACCTAAACTGTTGATAAGTCGCCAAATCTCCGAGCCTCGCACAGGCGTACGGGGTGTTTAAGCAACTTCTTGGATTCTCAGAGCACTGCAAGGGTATGGTTCTTGAAACCAAGTTTGACCCTCAGCCCTCCTCGGCTTTCAGTTCGTCATCCTTCTGGCTGATACAAATCCGATCCAGGAAGATCTGCTTCCTCGAGCGCCAAAAGATCAGTGCCAGGACAGTACAGGTGACACCCAGCGCCTGCGACCACACAAATTTGTAGCCTCGGGTCGGGCGACTCAATTGCTTCAACTTGACCGTTTGGTGCCCCTGAAGAAATTAGAGGGTCTTCTTAACAACCCAGCCTCCAAGTCCCACCAACACAAGGACTGCCGTCAGGAAGGCAAAGCAATTGCCCAGGACGACCGCTGGCGGCCCATTCTTCAGCGCCAAGAGTGTCAAGCATTTCTTCCTTAAATCCTCACAAATTCCAAAGGTACCCAGGTAGGACAAGGGACATTTCGGGCTCGTCCCCACATGGGAAAAATCAGTGAGTTCCCCAGGTCCCTCCCAAAAGACTGCTGACAACCAGTAACTTTGTTCGAACCTCTTCTGCCGGGTGCAACCAGCAAACATTGGCCCAACAAATGCAACCCGTGGTGTTGGGTCGCGAAAGCCATTTGGAGTGGGTCAGGTTGGGAATTGTTCACTATCCCCTCATCCCTCCATAAAAACAAATCACAAACACAAACGGCTTGGTGCCCCTTGATTAGTTGGGGTATAACCCCACAAACGATCAAAGGGCACTTGAAAAGGGATGCGAATCCCTAACAACATGTTTGATTTTGCTCATTTAGCACCCTTTGATAGGTTGGGGTCACAACCCCTTCTGTTTCAGACACTCCCCACCAAATCACTAACCTCATGCATGATTGCGTAAACTCACCGGTTCTGCAATGCCAACATGGAATGGTTCCCATGAGTACTTCATCACCTTGAAAGGGAATTCAAACATAGTCCTAAAACCCTATTTTCGAAAACCATGGCCTCATGCCAGGAATGGCTCCAAAACTCCTTGATGCTCTGAGCCTCCCAACTCTTGGCGAAGAGATCCCGCCCGTTGCTGGATCTTAGGGCGGCCAGGCAGGACCTGGGTGAACCGATCTGAACAACTTGTCAGAAAATTGATGCGGCGGATGGTTCTGGGGGTTAAATGGGAGGTCTGGAAAAAAAAAAACAATGACCAATCCCTTTTCAGTTTCCTGTAGGAGAAAAAGAAGAAGATCACGGCTACTAATCATTCAGCACGCAACTCAAATGCCTTGCTGGCAGTGGTGACTCTCAAGACTGCCCGACGCGTAATGAGCATGTTGGAGATGAAGTCTGCCAACTCTTCAACCTGCGGTTTCGCCTCCGATGCATCAGATGTGCCACAGGAAGAATGCAAAGTCCCAGCGCTCAAGACTTTGTCCACGTTCTGTAGCTCATCGCAACCTACATTAACCTCTTGCATTGCCATTGGGCTTGCAAATGTCTTGAAAGGAAGCAGCGGAAATCCAGAGTGACTCGGACTGCTTGGGGATTGGTGGTGCCTCTGACAACAACACAACAATGCTCGACAACCATCTGCATGAACCACCTTTATTTTGAAAACAGCACGACACACACACACACATATCTCGAAACCAATATGTAGAATATGGAATGTGATCCCGGGGGTACCAGCAGTGGTAGTTACTGAAGCACCCTGATGCAATTTAATTGGATATCGAACATGTGTTTGTCTTCCTGGTTCCCCTCTGGGTAAAAAGAAACCCGTATGTTTGGATCCTCCTTCGCGGACATCACAAGCGATGGCCACAGTTGTGTATGTGGTCCGAACATGTTCCAGACCCTCTGTGTATAAGCCGGCGTGCTAACACTGATTTCATGGGACCCCGCTTCGGTGCTTGGGGGTCCTATAGGCATTCCTAGGCCCGTTCAGGGAATGATTGCTGGCGTCTCGTACATTCCCTTTCAGGTCTGTCCGTAAATGGGAGGCCCTCAGTTGGTTCCTCAATTCCCGTTTAGGTGTGTCCCTAAATGTGAATCCCTCGGTTGCTTGGTGTTGCAAGGCAAACTAACACGAACCCAATTAAAGTTGCCATGGTAGCTCCGCCACTTGACATATGCCTAGAGATTAAGTAGCAGCACAACTCCCACGACCAGACATGCATCGACTTACGCTTGTCCTGCAGCCACATCTTGTCCTGAAATTAAACACCTTCGATTGCACATGAGCAAGTGTCAAAACTTACTCTCATCTGCTGTAGCAAGGGGGGGTACGTACACAAATTTGGGTTTGTACACAAATTTGGGTTCCTCAGCACATTCCCATTTCACTTGGGCGCACAATGCACAATGAATATTGACCGCAGCTCAAATCCAACAACGCAATTGAGGTAACATTCAGCAGCTCAACTCCATAACCCAACTTTTTGTATCTTTTTGCGAGGGTTGCTTTACACTAAGGGAAACCAAAGGAACATCCCCCCTATCTTTAAGCAACATTGTCGGCAAATGATGATCGACCAAACTGCCGACCGGTTGCTTGGGGACCTGGACGAGCCGGAACGTGCCTCCACGTTGCCCCGCTCGTTGGCGTAGTCCAAGACCCTAGACTGTCGCGAATTTGATACTCCGACTGAAAATAGCGGAAACCCCAGAATGAAACAAAATCTGTGTGAATGATTAAAACTCTGTCGCGCAACCGAACATGTTGATTGAAATGAACCCCTGAAAAAGGAATATATATATATATATATATGTACATTCATGAGAGAGGTCGCAGACCCCAGGCGGATACAGCTTGCCCAGTGGGAGTTCCCAAAAGGGTGGCTGAAAAGAAGATATGCATGGCAAATCATTCTCCCTGATGCGATGGAGCTCAGGGTGTGATGCATCAAACACTTGGAACAAGTCGCTGTGTCCAGCAACTTTCATAATCGTGATGCTTGCGATTTCGAATGTCAAGCGGAGGTTTCGCAAAACATGGCGGACCCTGTTTTGGTTGAAGGGGCACCAAAGGAAACAACCCATTTTTAACCTCCCAATGACATGCCACGGACACTCAGCGACCCAATTCTACCCTGCGCTTGCGGCAAAGCAACCGGTCTTGTTCGCCATGCCGCAATTGCTGGGCACTCGGGCGTTCTGCCGCTGAAATCCTGGCAGCGGAAAGAACAAAGGACTCCTGATAACACTGCTGGGCAAATTATTATATAATTCCCAAGCGTCACAACCTGATTTGTGCAGATCTGGTGAAAGGCGCTTCTTCGAAGGTAGTCAGAGCGTGTGTGCGAGAGAGAGAGAGAGAGAGAAAGCAGAAACAGGGAGAGGGCGTGTGCGACTGTTTTTTGGTTTGTGTGTATGTGTGCGCGTGTGCGCTGTGGCTACCCGCGTGCTTGCTACGTGTCTGCGTGCGTGCATGCGAGCGTATGTGGCTGTGCGTGTGTGTGTGTGTGTGTGTGTGTGTGTGTGTGTGTGGGTGTGGCTGTGTTGCTGTGTTGCTGTGTGGGTGTGTGCCTTGGTGTGTCTCTGTGTGCGCGTGTGTTTTGATGTTTGCTTTACAAACTTGCCTCGGTCACAAACATTCGAATTCCGCGACACGTGGCAACGCCCGCTTCGCTTTTGTTGCTTCACAGCAGCACATCTTACCACATGAAAGCGCTAATTTACTGTCGAGTCGAGATCATGTGTGAAATTCAACATACATCCATGACTACCCCATCTTCCTTCCAGTTCGTGACATGCACGTCACAAAGTTCGCGCTCTGCTTCGTGCCTTTGAATGTGCGGCTTCCATGTGGGGGCCGGTTTGCCACACCCAGTAGGCAAGCCCGATTTAATCTCCTGAGACGGCCGAACCTTGCAGGTTTGTTGCTTCTGCGCGAAGAGGCATGCAAAGCTTTGGCTGGCTAACGTCTAACTACTCCATGCAAAGTTCGATCAACATAGATCAACAAGCTGCTTTCTAGTGGAGTAGCCAGGATTGTTGGGTGTATGCTGCGGGTGACAATTTCCGTAGAAGCTGACACTGTGAATTCACCCGAAAGGGAACCTCCCGGACCTGCACCATGGGGTCTGTCGTTTAAGCCCCAGAAGGCTCGCAAACAAGTTGCCCAAACTTGCGAGGCGGACTGGAAAGGAAGACCCTGAGTAAAAGTAGACGTCCCAAGCCCAAAAACAAGTATTCGACTCGAGCAACAAAAATCACCACACGTGAATTGCACACTTGCAATGTTGACCACCCCCCAGCGGAGCTGCCCAGTTTCTGACTTCCGCCTGCGCGGCAGTATCGGCGCCCTCTACCACCAAAAGCCGCAAGCCTCAAGCTCGCGCTGTGTGCAAAGAATCCCTTGGCAGTTTTGGGGTGCGCGGTACTTGGACCTTGAGGGAAAAGAAGGCCACTGCCACAAAACGGCCGGTGAGGGGTACGTGTGTGTGTGTGTGTGTGTGTGTGTTCTGTCTTCGTCTATGTTAGTGTCTCTGTCTGTGGCGCTGTCTGTCTCCGCCTGTCTCTATCTCTGTCTGTTTGTCGTGTATTTGTTGTTGGTCTTTTAAGTCATGTGACATGCAAACCTGGCTCCAAAGGTCGTGTGAAAGATCAACCAGAAGGGAAGTGGAAACTCAGTCGTGATCTGGTCTCCAGGTGGCAGCATTGTCAAAGGGCAACCCCCGCACAACTGTCTGAACATCATGACTCAAGTTGGGATGGCTGGCCCCCCGTTAAAAGAGTTGTTGTTCAATTATTGAGCGTAAAGGCATTACGCGAAGCCCTGAATGAAAAAAGACATGGATCGGACCCTTACAGACTGGATTGTTCAAAGAGGGTGCAACAGGGGTCTGTATGTATCATTTGACCACCCGTGGCCTGCTGTCCGACGGGAGGACTGCCGAAGACTGAAGCGGGAAGTTCTGAGCGAAGACAGCGGGAAGACTAGAGAAGACTGACGGAATGAGACTGAGGCAAGAGACTAGAACAACACTTCCCGGAAACGAAATAACCTCCTGGCACTCCGTGCCTGGCACTTAGCTTTGGGCTTCTACATTCATTTGGGCTTGTTCTGAAGATCCTGGAACAAGCTTCGAAGCGACTAAACCAGAGTTCTACCCAGGCTTGGTCAACATTTGCAGGGTTGCCCATTCCTTGCACCTGGGTCATCGCGCAATTGATGGCCCCCTCCATAGCCGCCACGTGGAGCAGTGTTTGCCCTCGCCTGGCGAATGCCGCAAAGCGCGCTGCGCGCAGCGCGCAGCGCACCGCGGTCAGCCCGGGGGAAATATCCCAAGCCACAACCCCGGGAAGCACTGAGGATTACATTCGACTGGGGAAAGCAAAGCGGAAAACTTCCTATTTTTACCAGTGAGACATTGTCAAGCTGCAACACATCCCTGCCACAGGGTCTCAAAACCGTGTCAATGTGCTTCTTCAAAGCATCCCTCCCATCCAGGCGCTTTAAAACATGCCGCATTTTTTAGCCATAACAATGCCCCTTTCAAACCTGGAAACACAACGCCAAACACACGCTAGAGAGCAACTCATTTTGCCACCCACACCTTGGAAACCAAACAAACAAACAAACAAACAAACCAACCAACCAACAAACGGACAGACAGACAGGCAGGCAGGCAGGCAGGCAGGCAGGCAGACAGACAGGACAAGCACACCAACCAACCAACCAACCATCCAACCACCCGGCCGAGCGACCGAACGAGCGACCGCTCAAACAATCGAACAGACACAAAGTGCCACACACAACACATCACAACTCAAGACTGACCAATGGAAGATCTGGTCAGGCGAGGACTTGACCCATGATGCCAGGCCAAAAGGCCCATAACCCAGCCTGTTCTGCTGGGATAAGAGGTCCTCACCAGCAGCTGCCAACCTGGCCCATGCAGGGATGCCATAAGTATTGCAAGTTGTCACACCAAACTCATCCAACCACAAAACCATCTAAGAAAGGCCAGATTTGGAGGACTTCCCTTTTTTTCTACTTGCAACATTTAGCGCGTCAGCCGTAGCTCTTCTGCATGGGATGGTCATGGGTTCCCCTGCCTATTGCCCCTGCGAATAAATGGGATCTGTTGTGGGCAACGCACTGTAGCACACACATACACACACACCAATATGGGATTGTCTCGGTTGCTTTGCCTTTAAACCAACCAAAAGGGGGCTGGAAAAAGGGGGTCAACGTGGCCGGGCGCACATCGCTGAGACGGCCTCAGCACTGTCAGCACCTGAAGAGCCAGGGAGAGCATGCCAAAAGTGCCCACTGCCACCCTCCGTTTCGACGGATTCTTACCTGCTGGCCCTGGCCCCATGAACGCTAACCGACCATGTCGGCGCGTCCCCATCACAACATCTGCCTCCTTTTCGGGTGTATCTGGGCAAATGGGTACATTCACAAACGCGACATCATGAGTAACGGCGATGCTCAGGTCCAGGTGAGTTTATTGAACACACAGACACACAGCCACACAAACACACACACACACACCATGTGCCAAGTAATGTGTAAAAGTTTGCAACTTAAGCATATGGATGATTGCAGTGGATCCCTCAAAAACCATCTGCAAGTTTATGGACCGCCAATGGCAGTAAATAGCGGAAAACTCCTAAAGAAACTCCCTGTCAGTCTGGACACGCAAGGCTTCAACCCTAGGTGAAGATTTGGCAAGGCGGCCCTATGAATTAGACCCAAGCTGCAACCAGCGGAATCCACCCGTGTTCAACCAAATTGCCCTAACCTGTGGATTAAAAACCAGACCGTCACCCAGCACGCAGATCCCATATCTTTTTCGATCGCGGCCGCTCAGCAGGCATCAAGATAGAAGCCGTTCGAGGCCAGCGGAGACCTGGTGCAAACGAGAAAAGACTGGGCAGCTACGTGGTACATGCAGCCGAATATGGATCAAATTTGAGGCAATTCCTTTTAAACGTCCGAAAGGAAACATGGGTTGTTGTGTTTTGGTGGGAACTTTTTTTTGGGTTGATTTCATGGACTCAAAACGACACCACCAAGTTCACAAACCCAGATGCAGTCATGATGTGTTTTGCTTTGCCAGGGGGCATGAATGTGCGTGCAATCCCTTAGGCCAACCAAAAGTATGCCTTGGTTTTAGTGCACATCTGCAGCTGTTGTGCAACTCCAAAACCCGAAATGCGGGATCCCCAAGCAAAGGACCTCAGCTCGCCGTATGCAGAATCCAGGGACCCATCAGCCGCTGTTCGCCTTTCGCCTTTTGCCTCCGAGGCCAGGACGATCTGAGAGCCCGAGCTTTGGGGCTTCACTCCTGGCCGAAGAACGGCAGTCTCCATGTGTGGTGCAATTCAATTGGTAGAACAGGGACCCAATCCCTTTTCTGATGGCTTTCATCTTCTCGACAAAGATGAGTGTCCAACGAGCAAACATGCAAGCTGTTGCTTTTCTCCGCATGGCTGTCTTGGTTACCAAAGTCCAGTGATTCTGATGTTTGTGGGGAAAAGATCTTTTGTGAAGTGTATCCTTTCAAAATCTGTTCAAAGGGATGTTTGGGGTTCAAATGTTGTAACACATGGCCAGTTGACCACGGCCCAAAAAAGGACATTGTTGTTTGGTTAGACCCCAGAACGCGCCAAACGCCCCGCTACGCACGTCCTCCAACGTGAGGTTCAGCGGAGGCTGCAGCTCAAACAGCCGCAGGTCCGCAGAGAGCTCGACGCCGCAAGTGTCCCGGGCCTCGGTGGTGCTCTTGCCGAAACGGTGAGAGAGACGCTTCAGGATTGTTTTTCTTGTTCGATTTTTTGTGGGGTTTAGAAGAAGAAACACCTATATACCTTTTTGGTAGGTGTTGAAGGGAAGGCGCTTCCAAAGGAAGAACAACGGCACCAACTAGGGAGGGTCGTTGCTGCGCTTTGTCGTTGCTTTTGTGCGCTATGCGTTTGTGCTGTTTTTTGCTGAGGCTTGCAGAAGTGGATGAATGCCTGGAGAAGCTTGGCGGAGACCCGGGGTAGTCGTCAGTGCTTGAACTATCTGAGCCACGGCTCTTGGCCCTCTGCCAAACTGGGGTGCGTCCGTTTGGCTAAATACTTACAAAACATATCCTGTGATCTTTGTGTACTGCCATACTCCAGTATACGCAGCTGCTGTTGCTGCTGCCCCTGCTGCCCCTGCTGCCCCTGCTGCCCCTGCTGCCCCTGCTGCTGCTGCTGCTGCTGCTGCTGCTGCTGCTGCTGCTGCTGCTGCTGCTAGAAGCACCGTGCTTGCTGCCGCCTGAGAATTGCACACAGAGTGAATGTCCGACTTAATTAATTGAGACGAACTTGTGCAAGTGAGCTAAGCTCTTACTGTTTGCCAACTTGGCATTCCGTGCCGCTGTCAGATCGTAAGCCAAACAATCACATTGGATCTGGACTGTCATGCACTGCTCTTTTCCTCCTTCTTGTTTGTTCCGTGCCCTAGCTTTCATTGTGATGTTTATGTCCAGTCCAAATGACAAAAAGTCTGGCCTTGTACCTCCTCGCATCGGCCAGATTGAAATGGACATTTTCTCCCTTGCTCAATTTGCTGAAATCCCGTTTTTTGGCATTGTGTTCGGTCCTGTTCTTTTGCAGTTGGCTGCACCAAAGCTCATTTGTTCACCTCCAAAACCCAGGCAATCCTTCAAACCTCACCCTCAAATGCACTGAGCCCAAAGCAACCAGCCGCTGGCCCTGGAGCGAGTGGCAGTGTGGCCGGGATAGGATCTTGGGGATTTAGGGTCTGGTGCTTAACTCGGTAAACTTGAGAGGACAATGGAGGTTTATGTCGACCAACACTTGTCCGGTGATTCCGATTCTTTTCACTGAATTGACAGCGTACAAATGCAGGTCAACTGGGGTGCAAGTCCTTGTTTGTCCTGCAAAATCATGTTTTACCAGCGATGGCAGGATGGCACCTAAACCAAACGAGGATATTCCTGACACATGGGTTGCAAATGCGCGCTAGGCCTTATGTTTGATAAACTTGCGCATTCGCTGAAATTTGCATTTGCCGTAGAGACTGATCCCTGATGGCCCTTTCAAAAAAATGGCAATTTCCATGCCCTTCAAGGTCGTATTTCCCACAAAATTGAAAATGCTTCTTCCTAGCTGTTCTCTCGGGGATAAGAAAGGACACCCATGCGCGGGGCCGAACGCACGTGACCAGTTGAGGCTTCGGATTTGGGCGTACCACAAACCAGCCTGCAGGCGCTGCCAAAAGGAAGGTCGCAGATCCTTGGACCCGTGACTCGAGGGAGGCTCTCAAATGGCGTGGCTTGAGGGTCAAACTAGTCACAGGTGGCTTCCTTTGTGGTAGGGAAATCATATGTTGGGATTTCCCTTCTGGGGCTGTTTCAAAAGGGGAAGCCAAAAAGGACAGCCATGGCGGGAACTCTGGAACTCTTGGCAAGCCGCGTCAGAAGTCTCAAGTTTTGCAAACGGAAGCTAGTGAAACAGTTCTGTGGCTTGGCGGGCTTGATCTGCTTGAGACTGAGTACGAAGAAAGAGCAAAACCAGCTCCGGGAAAGTCGCGAATGCTAAACGTGTGGGCTGTTCCATTGCCAAACCATGCATGGTCAGTTTCTAAATCCACATTGGGCAACAGCTGTCTTGGAATATTCTGCACATTTGTCGAGTAACCCAAACAAGTTTACCACAGGGGCTCTGCAAAATGGATTCAAGGATGCTGCACACACGATTGCCTTTTGGTGCAGCAGCACAACATGCTCCTTTCCACTTACCAGGGTTCAATTTTGATACCGGTTTTTTGACCCACAGCCATATGTGTCCTGTTCACCCGATGACCGGATCATAAACCAATCAACTTCTACAGTAGCGCATTGCGGGCATGGGTTTTATTTGGGTAGCCCTTGAACAATCATTTGCATTGGGATTTGTGCAGCAACCATTTTGGACGGTCCCAATTTGAACACAGAACTCAAGAAATGCTCCATCCGTACCAAGACATCTCCTATTGCGGGACCTGTTCTCGGTGCTTTCTGCTCCCCTGCTAAGAGTTTAACTTGTATTGGTTTAATGGAAAACCCATTAGTTGGCAAAAGTTAAAGTCCTAACATCCAAGCAACATGCACCTCAGTTTTCAATTGGGTGCTTTGACCATGGCAACGACCATCGCTCCTGCGCATCCAGCAGCTGCTCCAGCGTCCAGTCCCTCGGCTGCGAGAGCAGCCGCTGCTGCCCCTGCCTGGGAGTCAAACGCCAAACGCTCGCGTGCGGACTGCTGGCACGAAGCCAGCAAAAGCGCTGGGGGTGGTGGGGGTGTTGGGCTTTGTTCCCCCAAAGAAGAATGCTTTGCAAGTTGGTTCTGGAACACTGGGAGTTTGGGGTTTTTATGGGCTTTTGGTTCGGGTGAGAGCTTGGCGGGTCTTTCGACGCACCATCTTGAAGGTCCAACCTCTCCTGTCTGGTATGCAATTAACAACAAAGCATGGGGCCATTGGGTAAACGACATGGTTTCTCCTTTGTGACAGCTTGCAACGCTCAACCTCAATGGCTGCTCTACAAAAAACCAACTGCAGTTGCTGATGCCTGTGATACTCCATGTCGGCAGGTGGAGGCAATCCCATCTGAATAGGTTGTCTAGAGGAAACCCAGGAGACAGGATAGGAAGTTCAATAGGCCAAGCTTTGCTCAGCACGCTATCAGCCGAGATATGCTTGGCATTACTTGACTCGAAGACGCAGCTGCTACTCTAGATGAAAAGTCGCGGAAGGAGCCTACAAATCTCCAACGAACATTAATGATGCCGCTGCGTTCCAGTTTCTGCCCGTAAGACCCTGCTCTCTTGTCAACACTAAGCGGTGCTCATATCAGGACGTTTGCTTTCAAGACTAGCGACATTGTCAACTGCTGTACCTGCCAACACGGCAAGCATGATCAACTAGGTCACAAGCGAACACATCCAAAAGGCACAATGAGCAAACAGTTCTTGCCACTTGTCCTCGATGACAGGTCTCGATCTCCCAAACGTATCCTCATTCTCTGGCATCAAGCGATAAAAGTCTTCTCCCGCAGGCTGCATTGCCTGGTATCATTTCGACTTCTCCGGGAACACTCTTTAGCTCAGACGCATCTCCACCATCAGCGTCACCAGCTGCAAGTCATCGACCTGAGTGAAGGAACAATCAGGCTGGCAATATTGACGCAAAAATCCGAGTGGCAACCTGACCGATGCCTGGCATCTTTCCACTTTGTTAGAAAGGAGGGGAATTGTACATTGGGTCTTTGCGTGAACACCACGACTCAGTTTAATCATGGCGGCGACTTTGCACAGAAATGCCACCAGTTCTTGTGCCTCGGTAAGGTCACCAAATGTTCACCAAATGTCGCCGATGCTTGCATTTTCCACCACTTGGGGATTGTCCGGGATTCCCTTAGTTGTTGACACAAACATACAACGTTTGCAAACATGACCGTGACTAGGCTGAACAAAATGGACAAACACAGAGACTCAAAATGTCGCCTTGCATCCCACAGTGCCCGTGTGTCGTGTTGGACCCACAATGGTCAAGCAGCCTTTTTGGGTGGCTGTTCCACAGGAAACCGCAGGACAAAAACACATTTTAGTGTTTCTCCATGTTCAGAGAGCCCGACATGGGGAAATCAGCTCCAGCGGTACATGTGTTTGGTCGACCCCCGCCTGCACTGCTTGGGCACGACGCAAAGCCTGGCGTCTGAATCAAGGGCTGTTGTCAAAGGCCCCGTGCCACAAGGTGCCACAAGGTCAAAACGGGGGGTATAGCTTCCCGTTATTCTGGGGGGGTACAACCCCAGGGGGTGCGGCAAATACGCGACTGACACGGACCTGGCAAGGGAACAACCTTCAGAGCGACAAGTGGGATCTTGTGGAATGGAAATGCCCTACTCTCTCAAAGGCAAAGATATTCTCGAAATTGCGCATGACCAACCGGTGCAAAGTCATTCATAGTATAGTTGTCGGACCAAGGGCCCCGGGTCCTTCTTGGACCATGCTGACCAAGATTGTCTTTTGCTGTTTTTCTCTTCCTCTCTCTTGTTTATGTAGTTTTGCTTTCTCTCTCTCTCTCTAACCGTCTCACTCTTCTTTGCGAAAACACAAAGTCCAAAGTAGCAGATCTTGCTTCAAGTGCTCTTCAGACTAATGCACCAAACATGTGACTGTGACAAGCTTGGCCGAAGCCAGCACTTTCCGATTTCACTGGCGTTGCCACTTCGGCACATCCCACAAATTTGGGCCGGGGCTGAGGATCCTCCAAACGGCAACATGTGGCAGCATGGAATTCAGCAATCCCTCACAATGGATTCCTTATGGGTTCCTGGACCCATCAAGCAACCGAACTCCGCTTTTGCTCTCAACACAAAAGACGACGTCATCTCAAACTAAAGACTAACCAAGCAAACATGATATCAAAAGAGATGTCCGCAACGAGCATCCTGCCGCATCTGCCCCGTCTGCGCTTTTTTTGCAGGTTTTCCCAGCCTGCACTGGTGGGCGTCCATCGTCGAAGCATAGGGTCCATGTCTGCCATCCCGAGATCACCAGCCATGCGACGATTACCTGAGTGCCCAGTTCTGCTAGACCTTGTCAAGTGAGAAGTGTACGCAGTTCGAATCAGTCTGAAGCAACCATTCAGCTGCGGGTGGCTGCAAACTAAGTATAGATTCAGATCAAACCAGGGGCCCAAACGCTCATGGACCCTTCTCGGGTCCGACAAATTTCCGGAACACTCGGCCCCTCAGGGCACTGTTTGGAAGGCCCCAGTCGTGAGCCTTTGGGGATGTCAAATCGAGCTGTGGATCCACCATCAAGAGCGCAATCGCGGCATCCAAATTTCAACGTGTTTCAGAGTGTTGCCTGGAAAAGCGGAACAAACACGGAGACGGCGGAGACAGTGTTCCTTTGAAATTGCCACGGGTTGAGATTGAGAGAATCACACACTTGATATCACTGAGTCACAAAAAGCACTCTCGTTGAACAGTTCAGCAAAATTTGACAAGCGAATTGACACTGGGCCAGGTGCTTGGCATGTGGGTGAGCAGATTCGTATGTGCACCCTCTCATTTCTATTGCATTTTTTTCAGGCCTCCATGTGTTCGTTGCGAGTGTTTCACCTGCAACACAAACGCCACCATTGTCCTGCGTGGGTGCTCCTGACTGCGTGTTCATTGTGTGCTTTACCTGTAACGCATATGCGTACATGGTCCCGCGTGGGTGCCCCTGAGTGCGTGTTCATTACGAGTGATTCACCTGTAACACGTACGCTACCATTGTCCTGAGTGGGTGCTCAAGACTCTGTATTCGCTCAGAGTGGTTGTATCTCATGGCGGAGTTTGGCCGAAAACGCGGCAAGCACGCCAGTCGCGAGAGGAAGCCCCACCTTAAACGAAACTGCTGCGCCAAAGTCAGCAACCTCCCCAATAATTTGTTCATAACACGCTCAACAGTTCTAGGCCCAAGCCCTAGGCTCAAACAAGCCCAGCCGCCCAGCCCTCAGCCCAGTTTTGAGCATCAGGGACCCGATCGAATCGAGGCACTGCCCAGCCCCCGAAGATGCAGAACCTGCGGAGGTGCACCCGGATCTTGGAGAGGTGGCGCCACCTGTTCAACAGCCAGGGTTCAACAGCCAGGCGATTCAACCTGAAGCCTGTTCAATCGCCTGACATATTGTCCTTTGGCTTGTCCTTTTTTATAGTGGCCAGGGGTTGTTTGAGAACATATTGCCCACTGCAAGAAGCTCAAAAAGACGCAAGAACCCAGAGGGCCTTTACTGGAATGTGTTGACCGCCCCTGGGTTGAAGTCCTTGTGGAGATGATCTGAAAATGGAACACGCGGGGAGGGCAGGCTCGGGCAAAAACAAGCACCAAACAACATTGGGCAGGGTTTCCAATCTGAATATGGCCCAACATTGACTCATCTGTGGTATCCAAGTGGCGTCTCTTGGCTACCACGTGATAGATTCTGCTATCCCAGTTGCTGCATTGGTAAGGTTCTTGCTTGAGGCGTTGCTTTTCGGACTGTTGGCTGGGCAAACACATCCTCCGGGCCATTCCGCGGAAATATTGCACATCGCGCATCCAGAAACATTGTCCCAACCACTTGCAGCGCTTTGAAATCATTCGGGATTCATTCTACTCACCACGATGTAAACGGGTCATTCATCCACTTGAGCGCCTCTGAGGTGACCGCTTGAGCAACTGGTGAAATCGGTCCCGAGTTCCCCGTCGCCTCACCGACAGCACATCCTGAGAATGGCTAAAATCGCGGCCGTGGCTCAGCAGTTCCTCCTCTGCTTCGGGGTCACAAACGGGTTCCATGCCCGCTCGAAACGAACCGAGCCCCGGCAGCGGTGTCCCTCTGTTTGAATGTGCATCACCTTCCCAGAAGGAACTCACTGAAAACTTAACACCAGAAAGCTGCTCTATCAAAACGCCAAATGTGGAAACATACCATAATACATACCTATATATATATATACAACATAGGCATATATATATATATAACAAAGGAATATATTGTGTATGGACCCTTGGAACAAAACCTTTGCCCTTTAGATCGGGTTTCGGTCCACTTCGTCCATGCACCAACGAAACCGATGGGCGCTGCTCTGCTGGGCAACAGTCTGAACTGGAAAAGACTGCATGGGTACATTGTCACATCCTCCAAATTACCCTCATGGCTAAAAGGGGCTTCCCACCCCACAAAAGTAGTACTACGCAAACAACCACATGCTCACTTTCAGAGCACAGGATAGGCTTGTGATGCCTGGTCTCATTAATTTCTCTCGGTGTCCACTTCAGAATTCCAGAATGAATCGCGGGTGTTCCCCCCTTGAACTTCTATGTGAGTGTGCTGGAGGGCAATCCAAAATGGATTGGCGGGGGCCAAAAACAATTGGGGACGGTTTCTGTTTCAAAGGACACCCAAGTCGATTGTTTGTGGAGAACCTAGTTTTACGAAGCATAAATGAAAGCGGCCGGGGGGAGGAAATGGTATGAGTAAACGTTGCACGTCAAAACATGGCTCGCAGATGATTGGAAGTGAACTGATTTGAGAGCCATGAGTTTCAATCGAACTGATCTACGAGGGACATGGCTTCTAGACTTCGTGTTGGTTGCCTCAGCGCTTTTTCAGGCTCTCTGGCTTCACAGGTCCAGCGGGGGCGTGGATCAGGTACTTGCTAGAGTGTAGCAATGAAATCGAGGGTGTAAAGCGGAGTAGACAGTGACCAAAAAGGAGTCAGTCTAGACAGTGTAAATGTGTCAAGCGGTGTCAAACGCAGCCAACGCGCAAACAGTGTAAACGGTGCAAACGAGGCAGGCGGTGTAAATAGTACGGTGCAACGGCATTTTGACGCACCCGCCATCCCGGTTAGGGCTTCTCGGTTTGGTTTTGTGGCTTAAGGGTTGTAGGGGTCCAAATCTCGATCTGTCCGACGCGACCTGGGGCTATATACATGAGCTTGATTGATGTTGTGTGATTTGGCTCAAGCACATGTACGCGATGATGATCATTCGGGTCTGATTCAAGAGTTTCGGGGAATTCAGCTGCTTAGGTGGAGGGCTCTGGGCATGATGTTGTTTCGGGGACTGCGGATCAATACTCGGCAAAGAATACGCTGGATCTGGGCGACATTGCCAATGCAATTTAAAATAGGACGTGAATCCAACATGATCCAACCATTCGTGGTCAACCAAGTATGGAATCAAGCACAAAGCAGTGGGGAGACAGCTGCATTTCAATGGTATGTCGGCCAACTTGTCCCCAGTTCAACGCACTGCTGTAGCAGGCATAACCGGCAAAACAGCTGGGTGTCTGCTCAAGCTGCCCCTTGGGTTGCAGGCGTCTCTCCAAATGACACTCACAAATCCAGGCGGCAATGGACGCACTGTCTAAAAGTGGGGGGCTGGAAAGGATCTCCCTGCAGGGGACATGAACAGCTTCATACATTGCCAACCAGAAAATTATATTTAAGATTGTTGGCCCGACTGGAGGTTGCTAGAAGACCATGTATCTCTTCCGCGCTAGCGGGAGTGAGGGTAAAACCAGTTGTCTTCTAGGACTTTACCCGCAAAATCGCTGTTTTCTCTTGATCTGCTGGCAAAGACACATGTTCCTACCGTCCACCTTTCGTTTCATCGCCCATTTGCATGTTTGAAGGAGCCTTCCGGATATCTGTTTGGACTGTCCTGGGACACCATTTTCAGAACTTCCGGCGCCAACTCCAAGGACTCCAACGTCCAATCCTCCGTGGACCTCGAATACGCCGAAGACCCCAAGCCGGACGAAAGGAGCTGCTTGGACGCTGCAAACAGGAAACATATATATGATATTTTGGAAGGCTGCGACTCGTTCTGCCCATCACGTCTTGTAGGTACTACGAGCCATATGGCTTGTTGGAGAAGCCCGCATGTTCCACAGTTGCAGCATTTAGGGAATCCTCTTAAGATCTCTTCAGTACTTGCCAAAGGACCAACTGCAGGTGAGCTAGTAGAGTAGCGAGCAGTCATACCTCCAGATGGAATTGTCCAAAAAGGGGGACACCAACATTGGCCGTGTTCATTTTGGCTTGAAATTGAAGCAAGGTGAAAAGGGCACTCTGAATAGGAAGACACATGCCTCTTGTTGCCTGCATGGCCAGGGAGCCAACCAGCTTACGACAGGCCTTGGGCTCTGCGCAAATGTTGATACTTTCATCTACAAACTAGATTCGAACATACTTTCCGGTAAATGAACAGGATTCCTCCGCAGATTTAAATTAGTTTGTGGGTCCCTTGTTTTGCCGCAGAGTGCTCCCAGACATGCGCAAAAATATGGCTTCTTTGTTGGTTGATTTGAACAGGAAATCCACTCCAAACACAAAAACAGAAGGCCGCCACTCCAAGATGAGCCCCGAAGAAAACTCAGCACTCGAAGAGTCTACCAAAACCAAATTCAAGAAATGCTCCTCACTTCCAATTTCCAAGGTCTTGGCTGTGGTGCCATGCTCATCATGTGCTGAGGCTCTGGTTCCAGTTCAAAGAGCTCAAACAGGCAACTTTTAAATCTGGCAAAAGCAGTGGGTCCTGGTCATTCCCCCCAACCCTTCCAAAGCGCTTCTATCCCCATTCCGGCTGACATTCCCTAGCAACGACTTGCTTTACGCCACGTGCCGATATTCGCAACCCTGATATTGACAGCTGAAACCTGTTGGCCAAAGGGGCGCTACACTGTCGCTGCTCATTGCTCTGTCCCTTCGCAAGGGCGAGGGTCGCAAGGGCGAGTCAGGTTGACCTGACGAGCACTGTCGAAGCTCAAACAGCCTTTCAGTTCCAAGTCTCGAGTCTGACTCTGTTCGTGGCTTGCACATCTCAGCAAATGCTGCTCGAGCTGCGTTTTGCATGGCCTTTACCTCTCGACAAAGGTGGTGGAAGTGGGCAGGAGTGGGAATTGCTGTGTATGCTACAGTCAGAGAGCAACCGCAATCAACGCCTTCCTGAACACACAAGAGGCTGCCGCAAAAAAAAACAACTGGGACATGAAATACGGTGCAAGAAACGTTCCAATTTTCGTTGGTTGTGAACAAGAGGGTCTAGAAACAAAGAGCTAAGAATTGCCTGTTGGCTTCGTTTTGGGGCCCAGAACAAATGCGGCCTATATAGCCAGCGTACAAGCAGTCATGATAGAAATATGTTGCAGCAATGTGTTGGCTCAAAGGCCCTCAACACACAGACACACATGCACACACACACACACACACACACACACACACACACACACACACACACACACACACACACACACACACACACACACACACACACACACACACACACACACACACACACACACACACACACACACACACACACACACACAGACAGACAGACAGACAGACAGACAGACAGACACAGACACACACACACACACACACACACACCTGGTACATCTTTCATCCCGCCTGGCTTTGAAAACGCCCTCTTCAGCTCTTGAGCGTTGTAGACGAACCTGAGCGTGGATGACGGCCCCTTCCAACCCCTTCCCCGACTGACACCCCGAGCGACCGCCCATAGTCACATATGAGCTAGCATATGACAAGCGGGTGGTGAGCATGTCCACTTTTGCAAAGCACCAGAATAGAACCCAGAAACGCATCATGTTTAGAGGAAGCTCTTTTGGGACCCCCGGCTTTTGGGCTCTTCCTTCCGAACTAGCCAGCATCACAAAAAAAGGGAGGCTCAAATAAAGGCTGGTCAACACTGAGACCCACAACAAACACAACTTTCAGGGCGGAAGTGGCACACTTCCAGAAAAATCCCATGCACCTATCATGCTCACCAAAGGGATTCCCAAGTATATCCAGGGACTATTTCCTGGTGATCCTTTTCGTTTCCACAATTAGTCTGCACTGAAATAACAATAATAATAACAATAATAATGATAATAATAATATGTTGGAGACCCCAGCTCTGCCCAGGGAGCCGTTTGCAAACTTTTGTGTGACTAGTGGCCTGAAGTGCGCCACCATAGAGTTCAAGAGCTGCGAGAAGAGCGCCTGGCTCTTCAAATCCAAAACCGTGAGTTGCCGTCGAGGACCACGTGGAAGCCAGATTTTTCTTTGGAGTGGGTATGCTCCATGAGCTGATAGTGGCTATACTGATACTGTTTTACGGGGCTATAACACGCTTGAATCTTCCATAAGACTTTGGGGCGGGAAGCAGCCTCTACGTTTTAGTATCTAGTTTGCCGTGGTTGTAATCCCACCGGGTGGTTTGGGGGTGGAAGCCATCTTAGACTCCTTGACATCCCTTACGCACTCAAATAAATAAAACAACACTTGTACGAACACGTTTGTGAGAGGCCACAGTTGAAAGAAATTGCTCTCTGACACACACACACACAAACACAAGACTGCCCAGCCAAGTGTGGGCTCCAAACAGCCAGCAGTGCCAAAAACACATTGGATGTTGGTTCTATCAAGATGATTCAGGGTCTATATGTCCCTCTCTCGCTCTCTCTCTCTCTCTCTCTCCCTCTCTCTCGCTCTATTTCTGTTTGTCGTGTCCTAGCCTCTCCCTCTCTCTCTCTCTATGTATATGTATATATATACACACTGTGTATCTAATGTGGTAGAGGAATAGCGTTACTACAGCCTCCTCAAATGCTGAGTGGGATGCTGGCCCCAACAAATTGCAAGGGGAAACCTGCAGCACCCCTGAAGGCATCATTCACAAACCTTGCACTTCAATGCCTCGTTGCTGGTACCGGCACCGCCCGAAGAACGGGGACGGTGTCAAGGGCCCAAAATGCTATCAATGGGGCTGTGGCGAACTTGAGAGCCAACTTAAGACAGAATCATAGGACAATGTAATGTTCTTTAATCATGGAAGTGAGCTTCCACACCGAAAAGTAGTCTTTCACAGCAATGTCAGCTTCATCATTGTTGGAGTTAGGTAGCCATCTGGAAACCCACCAATCCAACCCTCCCCTTTATTTGGAGGCCTTCTCAAATGCATGTTGCAAGTGACAGTAGATTGCACAATTCCCCCGTGTTCGTTTAGTCATCCCCTTTACTTGCGGGTACAAACGAAACAGTGCCATCTACTTTCACCCTCGTCTAACTTTGCCAAAAGGCGATGAGGATCAACCCGTTGTGGTGTGCCACAGCACCGTGCCTGCGGGCGGCCGGCAATACTTGACGTTACCAACAACTCCGACAGGGATTCTTATATTATTCACCTGATGTTTCGCCCCCAAAATGGTTGTTTCCCTTTGCTGAGGTGGACAGGGTAATGATTGAAATGAAACTTGCGTCGTGTAAGGAGCCCTGTCCAGAGTGACACTGATCCTTGACATCCTGAACTAGAACGCGGAACTCATACGCAAAACAGTTGTGGAGGAATCGCCTCTCGGAGAAACCCTTTTGGTTGGCGCCATTCCAGTTTTCACGAGACAATCGGCACATGTCTGAACAGTCCGCATGGAAAGCTAGTTGTGTTGCAATGTTGGAATCAGGAGCCGGGCTGCAGTCTGATGATGTAAACATAACTAGGTTCTCGCAACATGCATCGTAAGCATTGCTTGGGATTCCTGATTGGGCATGCGATCTCGGTCCGTAGGAGCTGCAAGTTGCATGCGGCAACATCTTTCAGATGTGAGTCTGACACACTGCCTGTCTGGTGTAACTACTTCGGAAACCCTGAGAGTATAATTAATTTGTGGTGCAGAAACGTTACACACCATGAGAAAAGCATTCCTGGGCCCTTGTATCAAAAGGAGCAGCATATGCACTTTGGGCACAAGTTCGTCGAATGATTATTAAACTTCTTAAGCAAGGCGGAGCTTGCAAAGATGGATGTCCGAAGTACATAGGCGCTTTCCATTTGATACACGTGGAACACTATGAAATAACATGTGTGCATGTATTTGTCAAGGCAGCTGCCGGTAACGCAGGTAACCCAGCGTGGTTGCTCGATTTTGACGTAGGACTCCAATGCAGGATGCGTATATGCTTATTCATTGAAGGAATTCAAGCAGTTTCAACATGTTCCGGACTGTTCAACATGAAATCCCCCTTGTACTGATCTGTAATCTGTAGTGGGAACTTCAGCAAGGGAAAACTCTACCCACTGTCCAACAATCACGAAAGTGAACAGGATTCAGGATTCATCCTGAACAACGAAGGTTGTTGAGATGGCCAGGTGCTCTTTCTGGGCCGTTGGCATGGGCGCTTCCGAGGCAGGGCCGGCCTCTGACCCATCCGGCTGTGCGAAAGCCAAAGAGCACACCAAGGCTAAGAAGCAAAACTAACATCACTTGAAGCATTCAGCCTTGTTCCTAGTTCCCAGACGGTGTCCCTTGAGGGTCTGAGACCGTGGGCGCCAGGAGCTTGCGGGATGGGATGTTTGCCCGTCATCCCCCCTTGCTCCAGGCCACCAGGCCTGTCCCGCCAGGCCACATAGCTGCAAAGTATCTGCCCAAGGATCAGGAACGACATCTCACTGGCCTTGACGCAATTGTTACACTGTGTTACACCTTTCCTGGATGCTAAGAAGCTCTGGAAACACTGTTGAATCGCCTTTGGTACAATTTAAGATTGTCGTCAGAGATTGCACCCAGTTCAGCAGACTTGCGTTGGACAACTTTGGAAGACCCTCCCCAAACATGGCCAAACAAAGTGCAAGCCAAGGCAGGTTCTATCAGACCCTCCAACCCAACCCTCAATCTAATAGGCAAAGGGCAATATCGTTCCAGTTGCTGACCTCGGGCATGCTAGCATGCTGGACTGTACGCTCAATGCAGTGAAACGATGTCCAATTTCTTGACGCGTTGGCAAACGGCAAATGGAGGGCAAAGGCTTGAAAGTGGACAATCCAAAGACTCCCAAAAGGCTCCAAGGTGCAGCTCTACCAAAGACCCGTTGGTCAAATCTGAATGGCCAAAAAACCCTGGACACATGTACAGTTGGTCTTAAGTTTGATGACTCCACGTTTGCTCAGTGTCTTGTGTGCATTGGCCAAAGTTCAGACTTGTTATTTGCCACTACCATGGTCTTCCCAAAAGGTAAGGTCCGGAAACTCAGAAGGTGAGCCGCCCAGAACAACAGCAAAGCTGTAAGATCATTTTCTCACATGGGTGCGGTCGGTGGAGAAGGCTATGGTCGTGTTCAGGGGAGCGGGACAGTGGCCTGGCTTCCAACAGACACAGGCGCATCATGCAAACAAGCACGATTTGCAAGGTCAGGCTACTTTCCGGAAAGGGACCTTCGACGCAGGTCAGACTGCGGCCCCCCTGCCCTCGAGGCTACCTCCAGGATTTACATTTGCCACTCGTGGACGTGCAGCCCTACAACAAATTAAACACCTCTATTCGGGGAGGTCCTACATAGTAAGTTCACTCACAACTTGCAAGAATCGTTGTTCCCCCTTTGAGAGTAACGCATTTTGCGGCTGTTCTAAACAGACAATAAGTTAAAGCGACCCAGCCGTACCCAAATCAACAGCCCACCAGGGATTGAACAACAACATTGGGCCAGGGGCCGAGTGTTCAAACACCTTTTGGCCAAATTGGTATATTGTCAAAAAATAGGGGTCCTCAAAATGAAGTAGGTGTCCCTTTGTTTTTCCTTGAAAACAACCCCAACCACAGAAATCAGCCCCCTAACCCCAAGCCCCCTGCTGCCGGGCGTCAAAGACAATTGTGTTGGTGGCCATGAGGCGCTCGGAAATGCAACCCAGGCCAGCCACGATGATGACCTAGAACCAACGGCCCCCCCCGCACAATCTCAGATCTGACACATGGGGTACGTTCACTTGGGGTGTATATGCAAGAGCTTAATTAGACCCACCCAGCAACACTTGTTCTTTTGTTGACCACGTGAGCATTAGTTGGCCTCAAAATCAGCTCCTTTTGGCCTGGTAGAAAAAGTCACATTTCAACTGACTATATTTTATCTTTGCGGAAGCCTGAAAGGTTCGTAGAACCTCCTTAGCAGAGGTTCTGAACGAAGGATTTTGAGACATTCGGGGGGTGGAGATGATGTGCCGCCTAAACCTTCACAAACCGGGAGGGGGGGCAGTAGTCCACCAGCCACGGAAAAGTGGTTGCGACAAAAATGGAAATGGTCGGTCTGCTTTGTTTTCCTTACCATGTACCTTGCTTCAACGCCTGTCGAAAGATGAAGCCAGGCGTTGGCGAGCCGAGTGTCAAAAAGGGTTGGTGAAATACAGGGGAATCTCGAGCAACACATCGGGAACAAGGCATACATAATCCTCGCTGTGCGATTGACCTTCGATATCGAGACACCGGAAATTGGCCCAAATCTGTCTGGATTTCCTGCAGATTTGCTTGCAGCTGCTTCAGTTGGACTAGGATAACCATGTCTAAAATCAGGCAACCAACTCCGAAGCTGCCTACGTCGCAAAGGCTGTCCGGCTATTTCCAACGCCAAGTGTTTGGCTCTCAGTTTGACTCTCGGCCTCTCAGCCTCGTGCGCTGCCGGTGATGTGGGTGCTCCAAATCGCAGCTTCATTTGAAGCGCCCACACCTGTCTTTTTGAACAAATAAATGCGCTGGTAGATGGCTGAAACAAGTCTGAAACCAGTGCCATCTTTGTTCAACCAAACTGACCACAAAGCGCACTGATGCGTACGTCATGTGCCAAACAACTCACGGGGAAGAGAGGCTTCATTTTCGGAAAACCATGTCCGTGCTGGGCATTTATCCATAACAGCCAATGGGATCCGGGGAGATGGTTGTAAAAACCAGGCAAGATGGATGCAACAACCAACCCACGCAGCGCCAGGTATCTCCAGTCGCTTCAAAAGCCCGGCACTAATTGGTCTAGAAGCTGCTCCCCTAGGTTGATAATTCTAGGCAATCACAAAGGAAAAGTTGACCTCTTTGAGGTGGGGTTAACAACATGTGGGCACCCTTTGGAGACGCAGGTTTTCAACAAACACTGATATCGCCGAAAGGCAAAAGCAGCCCAGTCCCGGCCACTCCCGAGCACATCAAGCCTTCACCCAAGGCTATCAACTACCTGGCGGAAAAGATCCCTGCCAAACAAGGCACCAGAACAAACACCCTACCCCCACCCTGAATCCAAGCTGCATAAAAGATGTGCACTTGGAAGCCGTAGGGCTTGCTATTCTCCTAAGGATCGGGGATTTCCACTCAAGCCAAGCAAGTCAACTCTGTCAAGGTGCGGGCCAAAGGTCCACTATCCTCGTTAAACCGTTTGTCGTGTTGCATACCTACCAATCAAGGTTGGGCTTACTCCTTATTCAAACATGTGTTGAAGCTTCACTGTGTAAACAACCTTTTGTTTGACTTGAGGATCTTATGTAAACCCAGGGCTGCCCTGCCCAATTCTCTGGCAGCCAACACCCGCAACCATTCAGCCTGCCATTGGAAGTCCAACAAACACGCCGATAGAGTTTCCGATTTCCAAGCTGCGGCCGACAACTCAAGAGGGCACAAGGGTGGCTGATCAAAACGTGGGCAGACACTTGTTGGTCTGGTGCAAGAGGTAAAGTCTCAGCATCATCCGAAAAAGCTGCCATGCAGCCGCTTGATTGAGCAAGCCACGCTGTCATTGAGGACAAACACCAAGGCAACCCTCCCATTCCAGCGGCCCAACTCAAAACTTTGAAAATTAGAAGTGCCAGCCAGCCGCCGATGTGAATATTTTGCCCCATTTCCCCAGCCGGCCATCGTTTAGCGCCGCGGGTCGTACGTGTGCGCCAACGCAAAGAAGCCAAAACCGTTCAGCAGGCTGCGCAGGCCTCAGCACGTACAGCCCATGTGTACAGCCGGCATGGCTTCCAATCGAAATCGGTGTCTTTGAGTCAGTGCCCCCTTTTTGGTTGATTGTTCAGGGAAACCGAACGGAAACCGCTAGTTTGTGGCCCCAAACAATTCGAAATTTATTCTAGCGATGGCATGCGTTGATCATTCCCCCCCCCCCCCGCCCCCCAGAAATTGTTGGACGGCTGCAGCCGCTGCCGACGTGCACCTCACCTTCTCTCTGTGCATCTTCAGGGCTTTCTGTAGTTCACCCACTTGCAGGAAACTCGCTTAAAACTGGTTCAACAAGTGTTGCTTAACAAAGAAAGCAAAGGGAGCCCTGATCTTTGCCACTTCAAGACACAGTGCTACGCAACATTGACCTTTGCACTCGGATCATATCGGCAGCAAAGGAAGTAAATGCATTTCCCTGCTTCCAGACCTCCGAAACTGTTGAGCGACTTGGGCCGGTCGCTTGTGTACGGAATCATTGAATAAACCTCTGAACAAATTGACGGCTATCCGCATGTGTCCAATGAAGAAATGAGTAGAAACAGGCTATAAAACCCTCGACCCGTCATCCAAGACCTGCTTATTGGCATTAATGGGAACAAAAGGCGGGAAAGCAACAAGCAAACAAGATCCCGCAAGCAAGATCAAGCAAGATCCAGCAAGCAAGATCAAGTACGCAAAATCAAGCAAACAAGCAAAAAACAACACCAAACAATCAATACTCACTAACAGAAATGGCGGCAACAGCAGCCACCACGCGATCACACACTAGTGATGTCACCCTTTGCGGAATTTAAGCGAACCCAAGTGGCGCAGGTCTGAGGATTTGTCAAGCTGCCCCAGACCAAGAAGTAGGGCGTGTAGGTCAACAGCTCATCCCAGTCTTGCTGCATCTCCTCGAACTCCAGAGCTGAGTTGACTTGGCGTTGCATGAGCCAGTCTCAGCCAGGGCAGTTTGGACCAGGAAAAAGCATCTAGACCAAAAAATCGAAGAAGCTGTCACAGCCAGTTGTGTCATGATCATGAGAGCAAATCTAGACATCATGCCAGCCACGGTGGATATGCAGTGTCCACTTACGACATTGGATGTTGGCAACTAACCCCTATTCCTAATGGGCGCTTGGCGAGTTCGATATCTCTACTACTTAGATAAGATTCACTGACCATGCTTCGCGCAAATTTCCAAAAACAAGCATGACGTCAAACCTTCATATCAAACGTATGCATGTTCCGCGCAGTTTGCCCGGTCCATGAGGATCAGCTCGTTGGAGATGTGCTGGGTGATGAGATGATCCATGGAGGCGAAGGCTTTGAGGTCGCACCTCGGCGATGGGCGCCTTGTTCTCACTGACCTGGAGGGGGACCTAGACTAATGAAGCAGAAGTAGCAAGCCAACAAGTCGAAGGTCACTTTTTCGCCAAGTGAATGTTGAAACCGTGGTTTAAACACCCGCTGACTTAAAGGTGTTGTTCGTGTTATGGGACTACCGCTTTAAAGAGTAATTGCCAAGATCTGGGTGTTAAACCATGTTGGGAAGCGACTCTATAGCGGCTCTTAGAGCGACCAAACCACGCGTGTTTTGCATGTGCAGCTTGTACGCTGAACATATGTCCATCGCAAAATACGTGTCAATATATGTATATACATGAGTATACATACTCTATTAACATGCATGATGACACACATATGGGATGTTCTTCAGTGTTTCCCATCAAGCAAACCACATACATGTCGAACAAAAGCCATGCACAAGCCTAAGTCCAAAAGCCCAACCCCCAAACCCTAAGTCCAAAGGCCCAAACCCAAACCCGGAAGTCCAAAAGCCCAAACCCCAAACCCTCCCAACTCCGCCAGTGTCGCCAAGTTGCCCAGTGACCACCCGGTAAAAGCTAATTGGGACCCTCTTGGAGGCTTGACCATGTTTAGTGAGTTGCGAATCCCACAACACGTTAAAACTGAACAACTGAGTCATCATCAAAACCTGGTAGTGTTCTACGGTCTACTCGAACACAGGTCAATCAAAATGGCGGCACCTATTTCTCGGGCTCAATGAGTCATGAAGCCCCGAGTTCCCCCGAAGCTTTTTGTCCCACTTGCTCTCTCGCCCCTTCAAGGCGCTCGGCTTGCTGCTCCGGCAGCAGCTGGTCGGCCACCGGGACCCGCAGAAGCTGCTGGACGCCTCTCGGGTTGGAACAAAAGCCTCAAGTGAGCAGCGCCCAACACCAATTTATTTTGGGGTAGTTCTGCTCTGGTTATACAGGTTTATATAGCCATTACTATAAGCCATCATGAAATTCATGTAGTAGAACGTACTAAAGCAATTAATGCTGATGTAGAACTGCTTCACATGATTCACACTCCTGATTATATAACATGGAACCGTCACAGCATCAGCTTTAACGGCGGCTGCTGATGCCTCCGCACAAGACGTCCTGGCCACACTTGTTTGCTTTGACCCAGTCAGTAAACTGATTCGGCAATCTGCCACTGCACAGAAAATGAACGGCTGCAAAATCACAAGGATTCAAACACACAAAATCACAAGCTCCGGTGATTTCCCGACTTCAGCCACGGAATCCTCAAGAATCTGGACGGCCCCACCCTCAGGAACCCTGAACCCGCTGAAACCCAAGTGCAACGGGATCCCTCCCAAACCCTCGGAATCCGGAGCAACGCGAGAAGCTGCTTCGCACGAATCAAATGGTCAAATTATCAGCACACCTTTCCATCTTCCAGCATCAGCGAGCTGAATATCACCCTTGCTTCTGCAACATGTGCCCATTATTCCAGTGGGGCCACTATAGACTACCTGCTCTCTTGTGTACGGCCTGGCCTTTATTGTCTTCAGCAACACAGACATGTATCTTAGCTCTGGCTGGTATTTGCGGATCAGGTGCCAGGTTGCCCTCACTTCCCACATGCAGAAGCAACAACCGCAAACCAACGGGAACCTGGAATGAAAAACAAACCTCTGGTTGATGAACACTGACGGTCCAGATCCACCAGGGATGAAGGAACCCTATGCAATATTGAGATACATAAACCGCCAACCGGTGAGCGCTCGCCTTGGCGCTCGAAGGCCTCGGCGCTTTCCGCCTCCGCCGCCTCATCCACGTCCTTAGGGCACTCTGGGTCACCCGTTTCAACGGGCCCCGAGTGGCCAGTGCGTTGGTGCAAGCTGGAAGAATCTGGAACACGTCTTTTTTGAAACAGGTGTAGGAGCAAGAGAGGGCTTACCAACAAGCAAAATTGTCCATACTCCACCCTATGGTTTTCACGCCATTTAAAAAGCACCGCCCAAAACCAACCAAATATGTTTGGCATAAATCCTGTAAAAATCAATCCACCCAGCAATTGTTTTAAGTTATTCATTTTTGATAAATAACTTAAACCAACTCAATGTTCCTTAACCTCATTCTTTCTTAAATTTTCCTCGTGCCTGTAAGTTAATTCGTGTCTCGCTTTACCCATTTTCCTAATATCACAATTACACACATCACAATGAAAATTAACCTTGCTCCTCCTTTTTCCTTTCTCACGGCATCTTTCACAATTCTTATAATTATCAATGAAACAATCCACATTTCTATCTCTCCGACATCCCGAGCAATATTTCTTTTCCATAACCTCTAATATAGAATACCCCACTACCCTTTAAATAGTTTTAGACACGAAGCTCTGCCGAGTTCGTGAGGTTTCACGACACAAATAATATTTTTGCTCTGGGGCAAGACCCTCATAGAAAAAAAACCACCAAACAACAAACCACACAAAAAACCAAACAAGGAACAACACAAAGAACAATTACAAATATATTGAATAAATCTAATAATTTTATCTTATTAGTATTATTCATGCCACATACCGTATTCTGGATGAGTGTGAAAAAAGGGTTCGTTTTGGACACTGGGAGGGGGTCAGTGTGGACACTGGGAGGGGGTCAGTGTGGACACTGGGAGGGGGTCAGTGTGGACACTGGGAGGGGGTTGTCTTCTTTTAAAATTCATTATTTTCAAAATTTTAAGTTTCATAATTTTTACTCTTTTTGTCGTTGGACGAACCTGCAAACTTCAAGTTTCAACACCAACCCCAAACTCGTTTTCCTTACTCCGTCAAACTCACCAAGATTTCACAAATCAAATCAGCAGGTATTTTGTATAAATCTTCCTGCTTATGCTTTACATAATTCTCGCACCAATTTTCCCGCTTTCTACTTGGTGCCCGTTGCGCAGTTTCAATATGTTTGTTATTAACCACTTTACCACAATCTTTATTACATAAACTTCGGGGTTTCCATCCAGAGGATGTAAAAGGGACTTCGTCCCGTTTCCATCTATCAAGGTTGTTCCACAACCTAGTTCGCTTCCTGTAATTAAATCCATATTTGCAATAGTCAATGTCATTAAACCTCAATCCATTCATAAAAGACTGACTTTTCAATAATCCAGTCTGTGGATTTTCAATAACAAAATACGGCCATCCGAAATATTCAATAATCTCTATTGTTTTTAATACAATACTATTAGCATATTCAATGTTTCTTATTCCTGTTCTTTTTGCAATACTGTATTCTGTGCAAGGTGGTGAACTCCAAATAAATTGAAAATGATTTCTGTCAAACTGTTTGTAATCCCATTCAAGTATATCACAATTAATATCAGCATTTTTCAAGTCTAATGATATTACATTAAATCCAAGCGACTTTGCTATGGTTCCCACACTTCCAGTTCCACTAAATAATTCTAATAAATTCATATTATTAGAATTATTTATATTTTAATTTTCAACAATTACATATTTACCATCATCACCCTTAATTAGTTTATAATATTCTAATGTTTGTTCTTTTGGACTTTTGATTTGTCCCTTATTTAACATATCACAATATTTTTTACGCTTCGTGTCATAATCACCGCTGGGTCTGCCTATCCCTTTCTTTTCAAATATTTTGTCAATCTGTTCCTTCTCTTCATTGTTATTTTTTGGTTCGTTTGCCTTTGCATCAAGTTTCTGGTCAATAGTTTTTATCATCTCGTACAACAGTTTAACATTTTTACTAACTGTCATTATCTTCTTTGATAGTTCAGCAATAGCATCATTCTCAACTTCAGACATTTCTATATATAAATATTTATATATTTATTTATTTATTTATGCGTTTGAAGTGGTGTTAAATCTACTCTTTAAATACTATTTTTTCATCATTCTTTCTCAGGTGTAAATAACCTACCAAATCCACTTTTGAAGTTTTCTACCCAACTTTCTTCAACTGTGCTCCCGTCGGCATCTTTCTTTTTTACTGTATGTACTGTATGCATGGTTCTACCACATGAACACGGCCAACATTTAACTTTAACATGTTCTTTATCTAATTCTAATTCATTTAATGGTTTAATTGTTTGACCGCATTTTTCGCATTTGACACATTCAATCTCTTTTTGGTTCTCTTGCTTCTTCTTTGGAGGCATTTATATTAATATTTACATTTTTATTTTTGATATATTGAATTCCTAACTTAATTATTTCTAAAACAAAATAGCATACTTTCTTACATTTATTGTCAGTTATTATTACTTGTTCTATATTTTCTACTTCATCTATTATATCAATATAATCTGTATAACTCCTTTGCATATTAAATAATAAGATAAATTATTCTAATTAATCTTATTATTTCATGCATAATAGAATATTGATGGGGCACAGCACTTGGAGTTTTCATTGCAATTCTTCAAACTAATTATCTTCAATGCTTATTGATTGAAGCAATGGAAAACCTGTTCCATTTTATGATATTCGCCACCAGCATATCATAAAAATGATGTTCCATTTAATATTAATTACAAGTTAATTTTTAAATATAATTTTCTATATTTCTTTAATATCAACTATGACAGATGTCCCAATAATAAAACCAATAAACATAACTGATTATGAATTCAAACAATCTAAATATGAGCACGTGCCAAAACTACCATTTAGAAGTATTATAGTTGCGAGTTCGACAGGCGGCAAAACAGTTTTAGTTCAGAATCTTATTTTAAATGTTTATAGAAATTCATTTGCAAGAATATTTATATTTTCACCCAGCGTTCATAATGACCCAACTTTTACAGAAGTAAAGAAATATATTAGGGATGAACTACATGTAGATGATGAAAAAGAACAAATTTATTTTGATAATTATAATCCAAGTGATTTAGAAAATGTAATCGAAAGACAGAAGAAAATTATTAACTATATGAAATCTAAAAAGATAAAGAAACTGCACTCAATATTAATCGTTATAGATGACCACGCCGACGACCCTAAATTTGTTAGATATAGTAAATTATTACATGGATTATTTACAAGAGGCAGGCACGATGCAGTAAGCGTAATTTGTTCAACACAGAAATATAATGTGTTGGCGCCTATCATTCGTTTAAATGCCAGTTCATTATATATTTTTAGGTTGAAAAATGCCAGTGAATTAATGAGTTTTATTGAAGAAAATAGCGCCATTGTTGATAAACAGCAATTATTAGATATGTATCATCAAGCCGTTAATGACGCACCTTATAGTTTCTTCTACGTGAATATGAATGCTAAAGACATTAACAAAATGTTTCATATCAGATTTGAACAGGCATTTCAAATTACGAATGATGAATAAAGATAGTCTAATTTAATATAATATAATATGCCAATGAAACTATGTAGATGTGGTGGATTTTATCGTAGGGGTAATTATAATTTTCATACTAATTCTTGGATACATAAACTTTATAAGTTTATGATGAAGAAGATTTAATAGATGATAGATGTAGCAATGCCTCAACGAAATTACCCGATAGTGAAATGACAGATTATGATAGTAATCAATAATATTAATTTGTTTTAATATTATTAATTTAAAATAATGAATAATTACATAATTGAACAGGTAATTTATATATTAATTTGTCAGATTTTTCTTTCTCTAGTTTTTCAATTCGTGTCACACATTCTTGAATAGATTTAATGATTAAAGTATCTGCTCGTGTTTTTTCATCTATACTTAAATTCTTAATGTCTTCCAAACTATTATTTTCATTATTTTTACTTTGACCAATACCCATTATATATAATATTATTTAGATTTTAATTTTTCAAAATTATCTTTTTGTTTTTCTTCTTCTTCTGAATCTTCGTCTTCAGTTGGTGCTGGTATTTCTGTTGGACTTTCAGATGAAGAACTATGAACAGTAATAGGTGGAGAACTATGAACACTAATAGCTTCATTTGATGAATTGCTACTGCTACCTTGTGCATGTCCTGCTGTTATTTGATTGACTAAATCTGCGATATTTATAGTTGTTGCAACTGCACTGTGTGATAAGTTTAATATGATATCTGCTATTGTAGCGCCGTTATGTAGCATTATTTCTATCATTTTTGTCAGTTTGAACTTCTTTTCTTCTTCATCGCTGTCATCCTCATCTGGTGGTTTCTTTGGCGGTGGTTCTGGCGGTTTGTTGTTGTCAAGCATTTCAGTAAAGGCTGACACCATTGCATCGCGTTGGTTTTTCAGAGTTTGTGTTGCTTGTGTTCTTGTTGGCTCATGTCTTTTGTATGTGTTGTGCCAAAAGTTTTTAAGCATTATTTTAAACATATTGTCTTGGGTTTCCTTTACCTTAAACGCTTCAAATGTCATATTTAATTGCTGATTTGCATCATTGTATAACTTTTCTTGAGTCTCTCTGGTTTCTGTGGCGATTGTATCTGGATTGGTTGCAATGTCAACAAATTCTCTCGGTATGCCTTTTTTCATCATTTTCGGTGGCTGTATTGTTGTTGAAGTGTTTGGTTTCATTAGGTTATGTATTGAAAAACTGCCATCATCATATTTATCATTGAATTTATGCTTCTTTCTTTTCAGTATATTTTTAGTTAATATTATCATTATTATTATTATTATTATTTATATATTATTTCTTACCTTTGCCCTTAAAACTTGCCTTGAGTTCTTCTATTCTACCTTTGCCTAAATTTACTATCCACCCGCCATTATCAATAGTGTCTAAAATCATATCCACTAAATATTGTTTGTATGTTCTCGCCTTGCCTCTGCCTTTGTGTTTCAATTCTTCTTGTAT